CCTGTTCATGCTCTGTCTCTCTCTGTCTCAAAAAAATAAATAAACGTTAAAAAAAAAATTAAAAAAAAAAAAAGGGAAGCCTAGAACTCTTCAGTCAGCCCTCATTTAACAGATTGTCATTCACAGTGTTTTAGTGCATTTTGTAATCTGACCTCCTTGCCATCCTTCCCCAACTGCTCAGACTTTTCCAGAATGCTCTTTGAAACTTATGATCCTCTGAACTTTATTCTTGCTCCTATCTGAAACCTGCATCCCCACCAAAACAAAACCCTGGTTGAAAGACTCCCAACTATGGGGAAAACTAGGACTAAAGATGGCTTTTATGGAGTTGGTACTAGGGAGCAGGTCTAGGCCCCATCCTTAGGTAATGACTAGATGAATTAGAGCCTTGGTTACTCAGTAATCCTCCAGGAAGGCACTGAAGCAACATGGGTAGAGACTAGTCTGGCAAGGGAGACAAAGGTGGGATTGAAGAGAATGGAACTGTGAAAATGTTTTTATAGTCACTATCTATAGAAAGGGGAATATGGATTATGTAAAGTAAAAAAAAAAAAAAATCTTCTATGAAGATCATGAAATTTGCTGTTCAGGGGTACTTAAGGCCCTGTGGTCATCTTCAGTTTTCTGCCAGAGGAGACTGTAACAGTTGTTGAGGACCAGGACATGATTGATTCGAGAGACATTCTTCTCAGCTATGCTGTACTGTGGAGTCCCTTTTGGAGTTTTTTTAAAGTCAGCTGTATTCAGATGGAATTTTAAACACAAAATTTGAATTTCAGCAAAAATATACATTCATGTAACCACCAGTATTGTAAAGTTCTAGAACATTTCCATCATCCCCAAAAGTTTCCTTGTACTCCTTCCCAGTCAGTCCTCCCAACCTCAAGCAAATATCTGATCTGCTGTTACCATAAACTATATTTGCCTTTTCTAGAATTTTATATGAATGGAGTCCTTCAGTGTGTACTGTTTTGTGTCTGGCACTTAATTCACTCAGCATAATTTTTAGAGTCATCCTTTGTATCAGCGGTCTACTCCTTTTCATTGCTGGGTAGTATTTTAATGTGTGGATATACCACAATTTGTTTACTCATTCACCTGCTGATGAATATTTGAACTGTGATCAGTTGAGTAGAGTGTTCTGTAGATATCAAGCCAGTTCATCTTCTGTGTCCTTTCTGATTTTCTATTTGTTTTATCAGTTACCGAGAGAGTTGTGGTGTTGAAATATCTAACCATAGACTTTTTCCCCCATCTTTCAGTTATATCTGTTTGTTTCATGTGTTTTGTGCATCTGGTTTGGATATACACAGAATTTTTATGCTCTCATCTGAATCAACTTCAACGTATGAACTCTATCTCTGATGGTAATCTTTTTTTCTGATAGTATAGACATTGCAGCTTTTTCATGATCAATTTGATCTGTTGTTATCTTTGTCCTTTTTCTTATAACTTACATTTTTATGTCTAAAATGTGTTTCTTTTTAGAGAGCATGTTGCTCTTTTCTGTGCATACCGACAACAATCATTACTTTTTCATTGGAGTGATTACTATTCATATTTACTGCAGTTAATTATTAATATGGTTGGTGTAAAGTCTCCTGGGGTGCCTGGGTGGTTCGGTCAGTTAAGCATCTGACTTTGGCTCAGGTCATGATCTCACAGTTTGTGAGTTCAAACCCCACATCAGGCTCTGTGCTGACAGCTCAGAGCCTGGAGACTG